GAGAGAGAGAGAGAGAGAGAGAGAGAGAGAGAGGGAGGGAGGGAGAGAAGGGAGAGGAGAGAGAGGGAGAGAGAAAGAAAGAGAAAAAGAAAGAGAGAGAGAAGGGAGAGACAGAAGTTGCCTCTTGGAGAGGGAGATAGAAAAGGAAGAACCTCAAGCTGCCAGCAGGAAGGAAGATCTGCCTGCCTAGCTGACGGGGGTGGACAGAGCATTACAGAGTCCATGTTCCAGCCCCAATAAGCAGCAGAATTTAGCAGCTTTGGCCACATGGCTCTGGCTTTAGAATCTGTCACGAGCCACTTCCACCCTAAAAATCATTACAGGAACCATCACCCTGGGGAGTCTGCAGGGAACCCCACACCCATAATTATGTTAAGAATCGTTCTATTGAGAACCTGCCCCATAACCAATTAGCTGTTATCTGTTAGCAGAATGCACCTCACATTCCAGCTATCCAGGGAACCAGGTGTGGCAACTCGTGACTTCTTGGCCTACCTGTCCGAACGTCCTGGCCTACGTGATGAACCTGAACCACGTGACTTGGAACACGCGGCAAAAATCTCATTTCCCTACCCCCCAAGCCCTCATTCAGGGGCTATATAAACAGCAACCATGATCCTAATAAAGGGGGCTTTGACAAATCTGCTTGGCCTCATTCTTCTGTCCTAGCTCATTCCCTTCCAGGTAGCGCCCCTTCGAGACCCTGGAATAACTGATTGCAGGGTGGGTTACAAACCCCTAGACTGAGTAACCCACCCAACGCAATCGACAAGAATCAAGCTGGGCGGTGATGGCGCATGCCTTTAATCCCAGCACTTGGGAGGCAGAGGCAGGCGGATCTCTGTGAGTTCGAGGCCTGCCTGTTCTACAAGAGCTAGTTCCAGGACAGGCTCCAAAGCTACAGAGAAACCCTGTCTCGAAAAAAAAAAAAAAAATCAAGTATAGCAGAAAGGGGCTATGAAATCTCACTCTATCTAAGGAAAGCTGCTGAGGCCAGGCATGTGTCAGGGGTGTCCCTGTATGGAGGCCTAGGGAGGCCATTGTGTGAATCTGTGAAGGTGAAAGATGGATTATCTTGAAAACCCCAAGTTGTTGGAGATGTCAGCATTGTGGGACACCTGCCAAGAGAGTGGAGCCAGCCCAAGAGAGCAGTGTGTTGTAGTCAGCAAAGCTGAAAGGAGTTGGAGGTCTGAAGAACGCTTTGACATCAGACATGAAGATGCAGAGTTTAGAGTTTGTCCATCCGAGTTTTGGTCTTGCTTTGGTCCAATATTTCCTTACTATGCTCCCTTTCCTCTATTTTGGAATGGTAATGTTCACCTTGTGTCATCATATTCTGGAAGTATGTGATCTTTTTAATTTTGATTTTACAGGGGATTACAGTTAAGATATTGCATAAATCTTAGAAGAGACTTTGAACTCTTAAACATTGTTAAGACCATGATAGACTATGGGGACTTTTATTTTTGTTTGTTTTGTTTTGTTTTTCAAGACAGGGTTTCTCTGTGTAACAACTCTGGCTGTCTTGGAACTCACTTTTAGACCAGGTTGGCCTCGAACTCACGGAGATCAGCCTGCCTCTGCCTCCAGAGTACTGGAATTAAAGGCGTGTGCCATCAAACCCGGCAAACTATAGGGACTTTTGGAATTACACTAAATGCATTTAGCATTATAGCATAGCTACAAACCTGTGCAGCCAGGGAGTGGGATGTAGTGTTTGGATAAGAACAGACCCCATAGACTCACGTGTGTGAATGCTTGGCACATAAGGAGTGGCACTATTAGGAGGCACGTCCTTGTTGGAGTAGGCGTGACCTTGTTTTTGTTTGGCTTAGTGCTGAGCCTTTATGCAAATGAACTCACTTCATCCTCACACCAGAGCCAGGAGGAAGGTGCACTTCTCTGTCCACTGCAAAATCCTTCTCAATCACAGACTCAGGCACTGAGCTCAGGGGAGATGCCCAGGTCACGTGGTGGGAAGAAGGCCCAACAGGGATAGACCTGAGTTGCAGCGACGCCTGGCCCTACAGATGTGGTACTGGAAGAGAGCTTGTGCCATCACGGCCTTGCTTGCCTTGGCTCCCTCCAAACCCCAGAACACAGTAGGCACTCAGCAACTGTTTGTGGGGGACAGTCCTCCTCCAGTCCTCTCCTCTCCCCCACAGCCCTGGTATGTAGTAAATCAGGAAACGTGGTTGCTGCTGCTACTGCTCATCTGCCTGGCAGCTGAGATAGAGTGACTTCCTTCAGGTCACATGACCCAGTGTCCTCTGAGCTGCCGTCTTGGCCGCTGGCTTACCTCCCAGTCCTTTCCAATTCTCTGAGCAAGACCTTGGCTCTGTCTGCTAAAGGACAAAGATATTAATTGGAAAGAGGGACATTTTGACTCGTTTCCAGCAATAACAATTGCAGCCATACTCATTGTGGTTTTTAATTTGTGTAATCCCACATCCTTAGCACTGATGAAGGAGTTGCTACCGTCTCTAAGGGGCCATTGCACAGAGAGGTTGCATAACTTCCTCAACATTGCACAGCTAGGGACCACAGCAGGGATTGGAGTTCCGTCAGCTTCCAGATCGTGAGTCACATGTTGCAAAAACTCTCAGCCCCTGTCGTATCCTCTGGGAGACTCAAAGAGACTCATGGTGAGCTGTGTGCTAAGGAAGGGATCTGCAGGAAGTGTCCCTCAACAGTCCCTCCTCTCCCTGAGACCCACCTGCGTGGTCCTGCACATAGCCTTAGGGCACAGCAGGAACCAGGTGGGCCCTCCCTGCCCCCAGGGAGCTACTAGATTAACTATAGAAAAGCACAGAGGTGGGGGCTGGGGAAGCTGCCCACACAGATGACATCTCAGAGACCTGAGAGCTGGTGGCACCTGGAGCAGAAATGAAGAATTTCTCAAGACCCCAGCTTGCACAGGAGTGGTCTCTGTCTGGGTTCGTGGACTGCTGACTCAGCTAGAGCGATCCAGATAAGAGTCAGGCGGTTGATGGAGGTTGAGTGGGAACGTGGGCAGTGCTACCCTGCCCAGGGTCTAGGTCCTCGCATATAGATCTAGCAGTCTCACTGCTGTCCTGACAAAGGCAATAGCCCAAGTCCCCATTGCCAGTGTGTACTGGCCCCCCAGGCCAGAATCTACTCAACTGTCCCCAGCCGACCTGCCTGCAGAAAGCCTGGGATCGCCACTGGGAAAAGGAAGGGTGTCTCCTTCCCCCATCCCCCTTTAGGATGCACCCAATAGCCCTGGGTTTCTGGACTGCCAGGCAGTGCTATGTGACCCACCGAATCCAAATCCACTTAAAGAGAGGTCAGAACCCAGTGACTATCATGGCTTTGTTATAACCCTAAGCAGGACTCGGGATTCCTTCTCTAGCCACCCCCCCCCCCCCGGCATCTGCTGAGCCGTGGGCGAGCACTGGCTCAGGTGGCTCCCACTCTTAAAGGACTTGTGATCTAGCAAGGGAAGCAGGTGCTTAGTGACTGTCGCAACCAAGGAAAAAGAGAAAGTCTGATGGGCAGGTGCCACAGGAGATGACCTGGAGTGGCCCCCAAAACCTCTCCAGGAGCTGAAGTGGAACTGGGGGGCAGGGGGTGAGGCGACACTCCTCAGAAGGTTTGTTTCAGACGTACCTCACTGTAGCCAATGGGGCCAAGGCTGTGCAAACTAGTGACTGTCATACTCAAAGGCTAACGTGGGAGACCCATCAGTGAGAGGAAGTCTAGCGCATGGCGCACTGCGTGAACCAGGGGACGGATTCTCCCGACAGCACATCTGTGAAGTCTTTCCCAATTATAAATATCTATGTTGTTGTTGCTGCTGTTGTTCAAGACAGGGTTTCTTTGTGCAGTCCTGGCTGTCTTAGAACTAGCTCTGTAGATCAGGCTGGCCCCTAGCTCACAGAGATCCGCCTGCCTCTGTCTCCTAAGTGCTAGGATTAAGGGCATGCACCATCACCACCCGGCTAAAAGTGGTATTTCTGAGACAGGGTCTCCCTGTGATGCCCAAGCTGGCCACGTAGCGGCCTGAACAACAGGAACTTCAGGCGTACAGCAATGCATGTGCTTGATGTGCTCAGATTATGCACAATTTGGGAAAGGCGGGGTGTATGCATGCGCGCCTGTGCATACCCCGCCCTGGTTCAGCAGACAGGAGAGCTGAAATCACTGGTAGCTCACCCTTCCAAGCTGACGTGTTGTTCGTTCTCTGATAAGCCTTATTTTGAGTGCTGTAGAAAGGAGGGGGCAGGGTGCTCAGGGACCAGGATGACCCTGTGGAGAAAGTGGAATTTGGACTTGGCCTTAAAAGAAGGGACGGGTTTGGAAAGGCCACAAAGAAGACAAATTCCAGGCCGGGGAGCATCCCGTGGAGGCAAAAGGGCTGGGAATTGATGTGACCGTCTGTGGCTCCTTTGCCACAAGCCAGCTGCTGTTATGTGTAACATGTGTTATTTCAGCAACTCATGGGTGGGGACCAAAGCCCCCCAACTGAGGATGGAGGTCTGGGACCCATTTCTATTGGCTGTAATAGGACTGTTGAGGACCAGGCCAATTCATGCCCAAGTGCGGGAGGGGAGGGGACCTTGGATGGGATCTGGGCCCTCAGATGCCTGTCTCGAAGGAGGAGCTAGGACTTGAGGCAGGGTGAAGGAGTGGCACCAGGGACCCTCTGCCTGCTCAACCCTGTGCTCCATAGGGCATTATCAGCAGCCTGCAGGGCCTGGCAATCACACTGTCTATCTGAAGCCAGGCTTCTGTGAACACGGCCAGGCACCCTGTCACAAGCCAGAGATAAGGCAGCCCCGGTCATGGGGCTCTGACTGTTGCTGACCAAATGAAGCCACAAGGACAATGGCCAGTTTGAAGGGCGGCCTCCCTGGGACCTTCCGGCCCCTGCAGGGCCACTCTGGGTCCACAGGAACATGAAAAGCGGCAGCATGGATTCTAAAAGCTCCTGGCATTCGTGCAGGGCCTTTGGCAGGGCCTCCTGGGCCCGGTTCTCGTCCACGGCTCTTGGATGTGGGCCTCTTGGAACCTTAGTTTCCACAGCCATGAAAAAGCAACCGTAACACCATTGCTCTTCCAACTGTGTCCAGCTAGCCCGGTGCCATCTTCTCTTCCCCCACTCCTAGTGCTTCTGTCTTTCTCTCAAGTAGTTTCTCCACACTGCCAGACACGCAGGGCCTCGCCAGGCCAGGAGCTGAGTCAGAGCTCAGTCTACTGAGTGGCTGCTGGCTGTAGGCGCCCACATAACCAGAGGACTCTCTTCCAACTCCTACCTGGCAGCCGGCGGTTCCCAGACCCAGCGTCCCAGAATGAGAGGGAAGGAGGGAGGGAGGGAGGGAGGGAGGGGAGTTCCGACAGGAAGGCTCCGATTTTGCCAGCTTACGCTTTTGTACTCTGGAATGCCAGGCCAGGCCAGTCTACTCTGCCAGTGAGAGAACTGGCCTCCAACAATAATGTTTTCCTCAACTTTTTTCTACAAAGCGTCAACTGCTTTCTAATTCAAACCATCAGGAGGAGGCATCCCTGGACTGAGTCTCCAACCGCTGGAGAAAGGAGCAGATCCACAGGCTAGCCAAGGGCCAGCCTAGATACAGGCTATGGCCACGGGGTTCCTAAATCAGACCCTGAAGTAGCAACCCTGGTCTTCCCATGGCATGCCAGCCAGCTCTCCCTGCCACCCTCACGCCACCAACGACCACTCGGCAAGCCTTTTTTTTTTTTTTTTTTTTTTTTTTTTTTTTTTTTTTTTTTT